TATAAACATGGCTACTGGTCATTAGATCGGGAGAACCATAATGTTTTCAGCAGATTGATGCTCCCTGAATTTACAAAATAAAATAATACATGAAACTTTCAGCTAAACTGAAGTCAAAATGATTAGGATATATCTTACTGCGATGCATCTTTGATCCATCAACAACGCGGACACTAACGTACGTCATATAGGCACTCATTATTTGCTATGAATGTTGATTTTTACTGCCAATCTCCCAGAAAAAGGAAGCACAGCTCCTCTTTTTGATATCTCTGTCAACAAACTATTTTCACGTACCCTGACAAGCAAGTCTGCCACCTCCGGAATCGCCATCTTGGTAGTCCCAAAAATCTGTATGTTGAATGCGCCAATCTTGAGAGCGTCAACAGTAGTTAAACTGCTAACGCTCAGGAACAGAGCAAGAAAGGCAGGAGACCGCATCTTGATTGTTGAGGCTGAAAGAAATGTGACAAATTATAGGGAGATTATAGTAGTAATTTTGTGGTATCAAAAAGGAATCTACAGTCAGTCGATACTTTTTTCAGTCCCAGTGGGCATAATTCGTAACACCATCGTCTTAGGGTTAGTATTACTGTTTGAGGCAAACGCTGTTGTTATACTATCTGGATTTCTAAAACTCCTTTCATGCTGAAGTATCTTATATTTATGGTTAAGATTACTCGAAAAGGTGGATATACATTTTCTGAGAGGCAGATATACAGCAAACAAACAGTACTTATGTTTTGTGCTTCAGTCAGACTGCAAAAAGAAGATAAAGCAGAACCAATTCAGAGATTTGAAGTGTGAGCACTTCATTTCAGAAGAGATACCATACCAAAATATTTACAATGTGTACTGAAGCCGATGACTTATAGTTTGGGAACAGAGATTTAGATAAAATAATCAGTTTTCTACCCAGCCCCCTCCGTTCAATATTCGAAATAACGAACAAAGGCTGCCATGTATTTCGGTAATACAAGCATCGAAATGTTACCATCCTCCTACATATTTTCTCAAATCTAAATTAATGACATAAGTATCAAAAGTTCTACTCCATAATTTAAATATAATCGAGTATTGCCATACCTGGGTGTCTTACGCCGTGGGTTCAATGACGCAGAATGAAGTGGAGCAACCCTCAACCTCCAGTAGACTGGGCTGAGGTGGAACAGTCCATTAACGTGTTTAAAAAGGGGCCAGGTCAAACAAGATTATTGACAGAAAACAAACATCCGCGGTCTGTTTATATTACAATTATAGTCTCCTGTCGCGGTGATACCAGCAACTCACAACCGGCGAGTCTACAACAGTCTTAGTTTAAAGCTTTAGTAAAACAAAACAAAGACACAAACTAATCTGAAGTTAAAGTTACCAAAGTCTTTCGAATTCTTCATATTCAATCAAATGAAATTTTGTTTTAAAATGCTGTTTTAAAATCGTTGCATTAGGAAATTTATAGAACGAAATGTGTACAGCAAAGGAAGAAAAAATGATAGAATTTCTAATGTTCTCCCCAACACAAGATTATTAGGCTAAACGACTTAACTGTACTGATCCCTTGATTTTCTTTCATATCTTGTTATAATCAAAGTCTGAAATGTGACCTCACTGAAGCACGTAGGTGACCTCAGATGTGGGTCAAAGGTAACCGGAATGTTAACCTCCAAAAAAATTGTTCAGTGACAAGTTTCACGAGTCATCCATTCAGAATTCCATTATACTTCATTATCATTTAATCTTTCCCTTTATTGACTGAAAAAAATTTCACAAAAAGTTTTTGTTAATCCGGTGCTTACGTGCTGCAAACAATGCCGCAACTGTTTACTATTGATAGCGTTATCGGTGAATGTAAATATGTGTTAGACGTTCTAAAAGTACAAAATCTAAACATAGGCAGTTAACAGATTAATTGTTCTGTCGTATACTCGTACTCGCTGCAAACTCTACAACAAAAGTTGTATGATGAACGTTTTGACTTAACATCAGTTTTTTTTTTCTTGGCTTGACGCTTTTGCGAAATGTGTGGACATTTCTTGAAAATCAAGCTCGAAGTTTGATAATGCATGGTATGCCTGATAGTTTGGCAAATTTTGGGACTTTATTTGCTAGTGGAAAATGTTGTCTACTTTTTAAAATTGTCTATTTTGAAAGATAAGGCAATACTATGAAAAGGTTTAAAAGTTTTGACACAATTAAATGCAGATTTGAAAAACAATACAATGATAACAGGCTATGGTAGTGTTTGTTTTGTTGATTAATTACTTTCACAGTTCACAAACTGTTTTGTTAAGTCGCAAACGTTGTCCGGAACTGTAAATACAAACGGATCTAATATTCATTAACATTTATCATATAGTTGAATACAAAATATGTATGTATATTTGTTATTAGTGGTGATTAGACATATAATGTATGTTGGCAAAGCTGGTACTGATACTGTCTTCATTTCATGAATTAACATTTTTATTCTTATGTTTGACAGATTTGTTATGCTGAAATGTGAAAATAGGTTTTACTCAATCAAGTTTTTGCAACAATAATTCACAGATCTGTTGAGGCAATACTTTGATCACAGATTAGTCCTATCGGTCATTTTAGCGAATAAACAGTGCAAGTTCTGATTTTCTTCTCTGTTACATCTTGAATATCTTCACAGAATTAGAGTCACAAACAGCCAAATGTCCGTCGTGAGTCAGCGTTAGTCCCTTTGGAAAGTCCAGTCCGTGTTCCTCCCGTGTCAGTACGTGCCTGATAAACCTGCCGTCCTGACTGAACAGGGAAACACGATGGTTCCTAAAGTCAGCCACGATGATGTTGTCCTCGCTGTCCGTGATGACACAGCGGGGCCCAACCAGCTGACCAGGTCCCGAGCCACATGACCCGCACGTGAAGAGATGACGACCGGTGGGGTCGAATATCTTCAGGTTGTCGTTGCCAAAGTCACTGATGATGATTTGGTTGCTGCTGTTGACGGTCACACGGATGCCGGAACGCAACTTCTGCTGACTTTGACCTTTGACCCTGAACTTTAGCATAACGTCACCACTGGGACTGAGTACAAACACTTGGTACCCGATAGTGACGATGATACGTCCCAAACCGTCAACAGCGATGCCTCGTGTAGTTTCATCTTTCTCTTCAGCACCCGTCACCTGGATGACACGTGACTTCCTCCCCTGTCTGTCCAGTACGTGAATCCTGTGTCCGTCTCCTGTCACCAACAGATCACCGTTTGGCAGAACCGCCACACACCATGGCGAGAACCTTAAATCTGCCTTCTTTTTGAAGAAGCCATCTTTGTCAAGAAATTGCAGATGTTTGTTATAACGATCAGTCACTACAATGTCTCCCTCTGCAGTGACAGCGAGTGATGTTGGGTGGTTAAACTGTCCATCTCCACTGCCTTCCTCTCCAACGGTTTTCCTCAGTTTAGGTGTCCCGCTGTAAGTACCGATCGACAAGTTAGTCCGAACTGGTGACAGTGTGTTTGACAAGGACACAGTTGTTTGTTTTATCCCACCCAACAGTTTTGAAACTTCCTGCTCTAGGGCAACAGACGGTGTATCAAAGGTCAGGTTCATGAAATCCTTGGTCAGTTCAGCCCTCTCTGTGACCTTCTTGTCTGCGGTTTGCTCCATCCGTGCGATCAGTTCTCCGGCCACCGACATGACCTCCGCCGGACTCCCGTACTCCAACACATTGTCCGTGAACTGGACACAGCTCCTGGCTGAGGCCAGGTCCATCTCAGCTGCCTCCATGGCGGCGTCCATCTGTTTCTCCCGAGCAGCATTCATGGCGCGAAGCTGGCGGATTTTGTCGTTTTTCACCTTCTGAACGGCCTCCATGATTGCCTCTGCCTGTTTTTCCAGCTGTTCTTCTGTACGCTGTACCTGTAAGGGCCAGTCGTCCTTTACTGACTGCAGCTCTTCTATCCACTTCTCATGCAGGCCTGCTGTGGTCTGGACTGTTGGCAGTTTGTCCTTGAACTTTGCTCTCTCCCTCTCGGCCGCCTTCTCTATCTCCACATACTGGTGATCTTTGTGCGCCGTTACCACACAGTGCAGACAGATGACCCGATGACAGGTGTCACAGTAGAACTTGTTCAGTTCATTGTGAGCCTCACACTTGGAGGTCTCCCTTGCCCGGAGCTCGGCGGCAAGTCGGCCAGATTGCAGGTCTTGAATGGTTACAGCTTTGTGTGACCTGGTGACCTTGAGCCCACGGTGCGTGTCGTTACATACGTGACACAGGTAGTCGGTACACTCCATACAGTAGAACTCGGCAGGGCCGTACAGGGGACTCCCTCCTCCCGTGGCTCCGATGTTTCCCCTTTTCCTTTCGGCTGTTTCTGCAGAATGTCGTGCAGTTTGCCGACGAGGAAGTTGGACTTGAGTCCTTGGACGCCATTTTGTGGGAGGGGCACGTCCTGTCGGCAGGTCGGACAGGAGAGTTTTCCCACTCTGGCCAGGAGCCTCTCCAAACACGGCTGGCAGAAGGTGTGAAGACACGGCAGCACCTTAGGCTGCTTGAAGTCCTCCAAACAGATCTGACAGACGAGAAATTCCTCGGTAATCTCGCTGAATGCGTTGGTCGCCATTTCTACACGTACACGGAAGTGTTTGCACCCACCGAAACCGAGAGAACAAAAGATCTACCTGCGTCATTGGGGCGTTCCATTAAGGGCGTAGAGGGGGATGGTCAAATAATATATTTTTTTTAACTAGATGCAGATATTTGCTGCTCGGTGAAAAATATTTAATGTACGATGTATGTTCAATACTTCCCTATAACTACTATGTATTGATTATGATTGCTTTTGACTGTGATGTTTTTTAATAGATTTTAGAACAAATGACATGACAAAGCAAATACAAACAACACTTATACGTACGATTGTAATTCCAGACATAGAAACACGCACAATAAAGAACTAGCAAAACAAAATACGGGATAGGTTTGTAGTCAAGGTCACCCATCTGTACACTAGATATTTTAACTAAGCTACAACGTCTCCTGTCGATTACTTTGAAAACTGCAATGACAGTAACTTGTGATATTATTGTTATACTTTGTTTTATAGAGGCGCGAACAAATTCAGAAATATAATGTTGGGCAGTGAACAGTACAGAATAAATTGACATACAGATTTTCAGGAATATACTAGTAGCAAAGACGACAATATATTACTAACTGGATTGTTGTAAAATGTAACATTAATTGATATGTATGTTTTGTACAGTATCGATGCTCACACAAAGAGCTTACTACAATGTACAGTGTTGTAAAATTGGGAAGTACTCTTTCAAGATTTGTCACATAACACATACGTCTCACAATAGTTGATGTTATATTTTTCTGGCCCACAATGAAGATAAAGTTATTATATACACATACCCATTTAAACATGAAACTTGGACCTCCTATACACATCTAACATTATGTATACAATCCACGTAATACTATCTAAATATTCATATGATATCTCTTATTTCGTTAATACTATGTTATCACCATTTTCAACTTATTCATATAATATTATATTATCTATTGGTGCAAGAATAGCTAACGTTACCTGTTCACGTTTACGTTATGTCATAAAGACCACCCAAATAATTTTCTTTGCCTTTGTTTAATTGTAAAAGTAACATACATGTACATCGAATGTACATCAACCCAGTAAATACATATCTTTTTTTGTTGTTTGGATCTTTTAAATGATTGTACAGTGATACTATGAATGAGGTCTTCATTAAGGTCGCAGACTGGCTAATATATATCTATTTTTGTTTGATGTTTTGCTTTCATTGACCTAATATTTTGTCCCAACTCATGCATTGTGCTATTCAAAATAAGTTCCACCCCAAAACAAGCAAAAACCATCATGTACAGCAGATTGGCTTACACGTAGAATCCGGGATGCTACACTGCAACACGGAGAGTGAACTAAGATATCTAATTTACGATTTATCAGTAGTTGTACAATGCTGCTTGTTATCTGAATGATACAATCCCTTTTAGTCACCGTTCCTGTTTCAAGTAACTGGGCATCTTACAAAAATGTTGCTTATCAGTGTAGAGACTCCGATCTGGTAGAATCGGCCGTTCCACGAGTAGAGATCCCGTTCGGAGTCTGTCGGTCTTTGCGAACAAGAGTCATAGTTCAGGTGAAGATGATAAGAAAGTGGAATTTTGTGAAAATAAGACTCCCAAAGGATGAAGTCTTCGAAGACGTCTTCAAAGTAATCTTCGAAAGTGTGCATGCGTCTTCTGGAGGTCTTCTTGTAACGTGTGCTCGGATGCTTGGTTAACTATTTCCGGATATCTGAAGAAAGAAGACGCACAAGCAGAACTTTTACAAAAGGCTTGAAATATAATTAAAAGACATTTTGCATCAATTCATTTGTATCGTATTGGTCAGATTTAAGATCATCATGGATTACATAGGCACATTAATGTACGAAATACAACATTGTTATTTCAACATAGTACATTGACAAAAAAACGTTACGACAATGTACAATTTGATAAACAGTGATAAGATTTCATTAAATTATGATTACAACTGAGACTATTTGGATGAAAATTGTTACTTACGCTGACGTCACAATAGTACCCGGCGTCCTGGTGGTACAAGCATCTGAGTGGAGGGGTGCAGTAATTGTCGCCGTAGCAAGGGGGCGGTTTTCTGCAGTCGTGGTACAGGCACAGCCTCCCTCTGCCGCAGTCGCTGTCACGCTGGCAGTACAGCGGACCCTAAAACAAACAAATAAATCAACCAACAAACAATGAAAAGAACAAACAAACACTCGTACGAGTTATTTGATACAGTCCTTTGTTCAAAGAGACAGGAGTGGGATTACAGGTTTCTGGACTCAATTTTAGTTCAACATTTTGTGTCTCATTTTCTCTTTGAAAGTCTTCTTGCAAAGTTTATTTTTCAATGAAAAAGAAATGCTCCGCCCCTGGGGCGTCAGCAAAAACGCCTACCCTGCAGAAGGAGAACTTGTAGTCGCTGTGGTAGACACACTTCTGCCCAGTCCCGCAGTCGTCCGTACTGAGGCAGGGTGGCGGGCGGAACATCTGCTCCAGCCAGCTCACGGCACTGCGCACCACCGGCACCGGCCCAACGGGCTGCTCGTGGGGCTTGGCCGGATCTATGCCGATGGTGTTCAAATCCTTCTGTATAAAATTGAATAAAAAAATCAACATATATAGTAATATAGTAAAATATAGTGAAGACGCCGCCATGTTGGTGGCTTATGGCGTAGGAGGGATCAAAGATGAATGCTTCACTTGGAACGATATCAATTATACAGTAAAATGATACCATCAATTTGAAATTTAAATGCTTATGTTGTTGTCAAATAAAACAGTTATTTATTCATGCGTAATGGTAGGAGAGAAGCAGGTTTAAGAGATGGTGAGATACCAATTGTTTAGAGCGATTTCCACACGAAATGCGTCTTCGAAACGTCCGCCATATTGAAGGGTTGACTATGTAAATGTCACGTGGGTGCAAGCAGCTAATAGGGCCATGCCTTCTATCCTGGCAACGCTAGAGGAGAAATTACACTACGTCGCTTGGTAAATCAAAATGCTTGACACAAAAACGTTTTAAAGAAACATCAAAAGATGTGATTTCGCTTTGATTATTCTTTTTCGTCCTCCTCTTCTTCGGAGCAGTAGTTTGCAATGCTAGACCACGTGAAGGTAAACAATGTGCATTAGCTTTGCAGATGTTACCTTTAAGTTTGATAAACTTACCAGTCTGTCGCAGTAGTATCCCCCCTCCATGTGGAACACACACTGGTCCGGCTTGTCACAGTCCCGGTCTGACCTGCAGGGTGTGGGCTGTACGCACTGGTTACACATACACCGCATGCAGCCGCTACACTGGTAGTCATACTCACACCAGTCTGTGTCCTGCAGAAATACACAGTGGGCATTTTCAAACGTTAAAATAGTACCTTGTATTAAGTAAAGAGACTCTTTTTACACAACCAAGTCTTTTATTCAGCTGACGTTTCTGTGACCGTCTGTCACCTTCCTCAGAGCCTTTCTGACTGGTTCACTTTGCACAGCACAGGTGTACATATGTCGTGTGTAGAAAGAGTCTATTTACTCAGTGTCTTACCAACCTGATGAAACTATTCACGGATCGATGAAGTACCTTGTATTATTTGAAAATATTGCGAAGACTGGAGGCATAAAAGGGGAAAATGGTAAGCTCTTATGTGATCGTTACGGCATGACTTATAGAGTTTGGCATCTCAATACACGGGAAATATGCCAAAGAAAGTAGTTGGTAAAAAGTTTTCATCTGCCATCTACCTATCAGTGAGTTTTACACCATGAAAAACAGATCAGACATTGGCAGGATACTACTTAAAACCTCTAAAAGCTCAATTTAGTCCATAACTAGAAAATTGTGTACGGCAGAAAGTATCGTGGATATGATCCAGAAATACACAAGTGACCTCTGACCTCTCAAGACCACATTCAGACCTATATGTAAATTAACGAACCGGACAACCCAAACATGGATAAAAAGTCTCACTTTTTAAAGAAAAATTTAACACCCTGTAAAATAACATTTCCAAACAAAAATAGTTCCGTATATCTCAAAAGCTAGCCCCACTGCGCTTGCGCGGATTACTCCTTTTTGCCCAGCAGGCTCCTGTGTCGGCCAAAACTTCAGTTATCGCCTTTTTCCTTCTTTGTATCAAAATTTAAAGTCCCGCCAAGTTGCGAAGATATTATTCAACTTGCTTTATCTTTACATCACATCATAGTTGAAGTAGCGCCAAGTAAGCAGAAACTCGCTGCATACGTTAGCGCGTGCTTTATCGGAAAACTGCACACTAACTGATTCGGGTTCGAAATTGGACGTTTCATCAACTTCACTGTATCCGTTCCCCAGTGGGCATACGCAATGTCTTTCCTAACAGGTTTCTGGTGCAAGTTCTCCATCATGATATGGTTAAAGTTTCTTCGTAAATATCTTATAGCCTTCCTCCTCCAGTGTCAATTTCGGCAATTAAGTCGATACCATTTTTTTTTACAGCAATGGCATTTTATTTGAAGTTCCTAAACGCTAGAATTTGTGAAATTGATCAAATGCATAAAGCATGAAAAGTTTTAAGCTAAAAAGAAAAGATTTTTGCATAGAAAATGAATTAGGGTAGTAGAATACATTTAATACATACCAGTACTTACTGGTCTATCCAATCCAGAAAACATCAAACCAGTAAACACGGTTACAAACATTTGCTCAATTATCATTTTAGGTAAAAAAAAACACGTCTAATATAAACTTGATTAAAACAAACGACTGAAAACGACGTTACAATGTGTACAAATGCCATCTGGAATGCATATAAAGAACTGGAGATGTGATGGGTTCATCTCTTGATAAATGACGCCTGTCTCATTGTACCTAAAACTTATAAATCCGGTGCCAGAGTTGATTGTAATTGATGTGGCGAGGCGCCCGGTGGTCGCACCAAGCCAGCTGTGATACGGGCAACGGAAATACCACATAATCTGGTGTATCAGACTAAGGCCGAGCTGATTTCATTTTATGGAAGACAAGTGCGGGCATTGATTTTCGCCTGTTCTCAAAAAATAAAGAAAAAAAAATCACCCCCTTCGAGGCTCTGGCCTGGGTGCCATTCTCCATAGTCCCTAGTAGCTGCTGCAGGGGAATGGCACCCATGTTTTTTTTCTTTCCTGAGACCAGGCCAAAATCAATGCCGAAGCTCCACGAAACTCAAGAACTCAGCACAGTGCCGACTCATAAATGTCCAAAAGGCCAGCACGATACCAGCTTTATATTCCTGTGGTTTGCTGTATTTTTTTTCAGCTGGGATCTTTTATTCGCCCGCGCACTAGTTTGGGGATCTTCTGAGGATGCCATCCATAAAATTAAGTAAAATTGATATTAAAGACTGGCAGTGCATACGGGCACGCGTCAGCGACAAATCCCTCAGATGACTATAATCATCAGACGAAAGTGTCAAGGGGATATTGTCGCATATAACAACTGAGAGGCCAGGTGTCATAGATACAACGATAACGGTTTGCCAAATTTTACTGCAATCTTACAATGGTCGGTAATATTACATGCAGATATGATGTAAAGTTTTTTTTTTTCTAATCGAAAAGTACAAGCAGTGCCAAAGTAATAGTAGGAAATAAGTATAAGTTAGAATATGAAAAACAATGGACGACAAGAGGATTTCTGTCTACCTTTGTATATCTGTTAGAAAAACATTTTTAACAGTTCCAAAATTTTAGTTTTTGTAGTACGTATCAAAGGCTTAGCTACTAAACCCGTCCGGTATAACCAATTGAAAGGGATTTCTTGTACACTAATATTACCAATTACAGAAAGGAAAATCCGCAATTACTGTCAGTGCCAACAAAGGGAGGTACAGAGATTTAGCCAGATTTCCTTTCAAATGAGAAAAACACACCAGCATGTATGTAATACAAGAGTGGGACAAAACAGGCTGTTAGAGTAATACCAGCAACCTGTACAGATAACCTCATCTATGAGAGACTCGATCAGGCCATAGCAAGAAGCATGCCAAGAAACATGGGCAATACATCTCGACTTAAACGTGGAAACGTCTGTTCCAGTACTGAAAAAATTGGGTCGGAAGGTTGAAATTATCTTACCGAGAACGCCAACAAAGGAGGCTATCTACAGACCTTTCTCTACCCCTTATAAAAGTTTTTTGTTGGTACTTTTCTAGGTCTTCTCAGTCTGTCTCAGACGTATAAGGGGACGAGGGGGATACAGACACTAGTCACGTGTGGGGCGGACGGCGTCCTTGACAAAGCGCCACCTTGCGCCAACATAATCCAATGACAACAAATAGCATTTTACACTTTTTTATAAACCGATGCGTTCTTCAAACAGCATCGATGTATGTAGATAAAGGTTGAACCTTACCATACAGAAGGAGTATCCGCAGGTACTGTGGTATTTGCACCTCATTCCTGGGACACATTCCTCGGTCGAACGGCATGCTGGCAGACCTGGGTACAAGATGAAAAAAATCCGGGTATAAGATGAAAAAAAAAACACAAAGTGTTATGTTGTATATGTAGACATAAAAGGAAGACCATAGTTTATACTTTTGCACCTTCAAAGCCATAAATATGCATGGCAAAAGTTGTTTTGGACAACGATTTATATTTGTTTGTTTGGTTTCTTAATATTATTTTATGTAATTATTAACTATCTACTTTCTTGAGTTACTGTATATTCCTTTGACATGACCTCCAATTATCATGTGTATCACAAGACATGATTTACTTATGATTTACCTATCTATGTTACTTTGATTTATGTTATCATTTGTTATTTATTATTTGTATTCTTCTGGGCTCCCATGGATTCCCGTCTAAATACTAATGAGACAACCCACTTGTTCCTAAGAAGAAGAAGAAGAAATAAATTGAATATATAAAAAAGCATATAATGATAAAAGCAAACCTTGAACAGATGATATCTTTACAAATCGTACAAAGCAAAATATTGACGTTAAAGTTACGCCAATCAATGTCTGCCTAATGTTCCTGCGTCTATATTTTCAGTAACGACATTTCCCGTCCGTTAATGTGATTTCTGGCTGGATGTAATGTTATCTGACAGCAGCTGATACCGTTTGATTTAACCCACAGGATGATGGGAGCTTTCAAATGTCTCCGGAAATTGTCAACGACAAAGTTACACAACTTCGTTTTAACGACCGCACGGTGAACAGTACCGGTTATTTGGATGATTGCCCACAAAGCTAACGGAAATAATTCAATCTTTATCCATCCCCGAGGTCACGTAACTACGCCAGTGCAGTATTTTGCAGCCTAATTGCACTATTTTGTCTCCCATGCGCTCGGTTAATTGTAAATTACATACCCATGCGGAGACGAGTAATCGCGGACATTTGAGCTTGAAGAATGGAAAAACATTTCGTCCTTGTCAATGTCAGTACAAGGACGTTACATTAGCAGTGTCTTACAGAGCTCGAGGATATTTCAACTTGTAAATAATCGACGTTCTAAAACAAGTACAGCTTTGCCCTCAAACCATGGCCCTAGCTATTGGCCCCCATTCCTTGTTCTTTAGTACACCCCAGGCTATTTCATCGCAATTCCCAAAGAAGACATTGTCAGCAAAATTATACAAGACTATAACATCAATCACTTTTAAATAATCGACATTCTAAAAAAAAGTACAGTGTTTTGCCTCCCCAAAACGATATCCTCCTTTCTGCCCCCTCCCCCTTTCTACGCACTCATTTCATTAAATTCACAAAGAGGACGTTCAGTTTATATGTGTAAAATGTATTAAAGACTGTTATAACGTTATACCAATCACGTGCAAATAATCGACACTCTACAAAAAGCACTACTTTACCTCACTAAAACAACATTTCGTCCTGCCCCCCTCCCCGTAACTTAACCTTGGTGCACTCCGGCATATTTCATTACAATTTCCCAAGAACATATTCAGCCTATATGTGTCCAATGTATTCAAGACTGCTACGGTGTTATATCAATCACTTGTAAATAATCGACATTCTAACACAAGTACTGCTTTGCCTCACCAAAACGATTGCCCTCCCTCTTGCCCCCCTCCCCCTTTCTTAACCTCGGTGCACTCCGGGCTATTTCATCACAATTCCCAAAGAAGACGTAGTGAGATGGGATTGCTGCCCAAGCGCCCGTTGTGATCAGCCTGTATCCATCAATCCCTTTCATACTAGAGGGTGCATTTATTTGCCCTGTCCAGACGTGGCCGTTAAAGCCAATCAATACCGTCGGTACTCCCTGCCAGTTCAGCATTAAATCCCCATCACTGTTCTGCCGTGCAGACGTCTGGATGTACGTGCCGGGACGTGATAGTCCCCGGTTAACATTCACAAGTTTGGAAAACCGAGAGAAGAATATTGACCGCGAAACGTGACTGTGAATACAATGCATTGTTCTGTATGGGAGAAAATATCAATGTCTCTCTTTCTTACCATTGTTACGTTTGCCTAATCACAGAGGGAACTGGTACTGTAGCAGACACCATGTGGTGTTGGGTTACATTATGTAGCAGGACAGATTTGGAAGGGCTGGTCACCATATATATACAAGGTGATCAACCCCGCCAAATATATGGATGTGTTTGAGCAGCACAAAACAGGGCAGTAGTGCAAAACCTGGGGGAGGTGGGTCAATGATTCAACTTAATTAGTTAAAATGACTAGATTTTAGGATCATAGTGAGTTATTATCGTTATATAAATAGCTGCACATTCGACAACCTCGTGTGTTGTAAAGATTAATATACGCTTTGAGGAAAATGGAACCTTGTTTATCGTTTTATATTTACATTTAACAAATCGTAAGTTATTGTTTTACTTACTGGTAAATAAATGCTTGGTAAAATGTTTATGAAACCAGCCTGTCTGAGTGTGTGTGTGTTTTTTTTTCAAATCTCTTCCAACTATCATATAGTTATATATATATACATGTATCACCAGATTATTCATTTACTTGCAGGAGAAGATATATCTATAAGCTGACATTGTTATACATATATCCCGATTCGTAACATCGATTTTGTCTGCCTTTATAGCTTTCATAGCTACATATCAAATCTCATATCAGCCTAGAGGTGACATGCCAAGTTCAGACATCGATAAACACTCTTCCGTTGTTCTATAAGAAGTCAGACTGATGGAAACATCGCCTCGTCACGGCCTGTGGCCGCCATCTTGTTAAAAGATAGCCACGGTCTATATTAAGAGTTATAACTCCACAACATTCATTGAATTTGACGGAAACACATTGACTTATTGGGTGGAAAAGGGAGGAAAGGCCAAAACAGAACTTTGTTAAAGGGCAGGGAAGGGATTAATGTTGCCGTTTGTGACCCCTGACGACCTGAGGTGTTAGTCTGCAGGCTCTTGCCAGGTTTCCGGCCACCATAGTCATCCATTTCTGTGCCTTTGGGCCTTTCTAAAGTGCGGTATTACGGCATTAACACGAGGAATGATTGCGCTAATGTATATAAAGGTTAGAAAGCGAAAGTGAAGGACACAGGCAAACTATGAAGGGACCACCATAGTTCTAAAAAAATAACTGGAAAGATTTATTAAAATATGTTTTTCTAATTTGCATCATTTTTGTAACTTTTAAAACTAAGATTTTCCGGGCTACGAGGTTTAAACAGTTTATTGTAACCTTTACTTAAGGGCACGGAAGTATTGTTTAGGGTGGCTCAGGTCGGACCGAGTAGGTTGACAGCATGTGGATGGGGACAGACAGGCAGAGTGGCAGAAGGTCAAAAGGTCGGGCACAGGAAATGTTTCTGGCCGGAAGGCAGCAGGAAATAGGGGTCGACATGGGGGAATTCAGGAAGCCGAAGATTGCAAGAGGGGCCCTTCAATACACTCCGGAAGTCTGAAAAGTTCGGTGTCTTGTTTTACATGGACCAACTTTGCTGTTGCACGACTTGAACCAAATATATGTGTACCCACGTATTGAGGATATCACTAAATTTCCTTAAGGGGTTACAGGCGAAGTCAATGCATACCGATTTTCTCAGTAAGGAAAGCCTGTTCAAAGATTTACCCCTGTTCAACACATTAAAGCACAAGGTCAAATAGAGAAAATTATTGGAGTTTGCCCTTCAATATTTCCTGTACGTAAGTAAAGCTTTTAAGAATAAGACCTCCAGCAAAATGACCCATCTTTGGCAATTACTCGGTGGGTGCATTTCCTGTAACCGGGTCCGTAATGTAAAACGTTTCCTCTTGTTTCCGCCGAAAGGCGGGTTCAAATGGCTGAAAAGCGCCGCTATCCTGTAACTAAAGACTGCTATAGATAAAAGGGACCCACGTGGCTTGAAAGGTTAAAACGAACAACATTATGCCTGCAGAGAAGATTTCAAAATAACGGACAACAGCAGACCATAATTTAACTAAATGCTGGGCCCACGACAATAATATGAAGTTTGTACTATAGAACGCATAAGAGTAAGGATGTATAATTCGCTACATTTCTTGAGCTACGAAAACAGTGAATAGATAATAAAAGTAATATTGAAATATGACAAATGTTCATAATCCAATTGCCCGAAATGACCGTAGACGACCCATTTATGGCTAAGTTTTATGCCGCCCTCTGCCTCCAACCACTTTCCTAATGCCATGCCATTCGACATCATTATCCAATCCGTATTTTATCCTTAGGTATAGCGGTAAGCTATATAAATAAATATACGATGAAACACTTGGCTCAGACCTTTCGGAGCCGTTTCGGTAGAAAGACTTACTCAATGTCATAACATAATGCAAATGCAGCCGTCCTTTGAGTGACCTTTATGATTTCAAAGTGTAATATCATAAGAGCACCGCAAATATGTAGGGGATGCCAAGACCAATATGTCGACCAGGCAATTGGACCGCCACCCAGTCGTCAAATGGATATTAGCCTTACCTATATGTATCAGCTGTCATACTTGAAAAGTGAAGATGGGGGGGGGGGGGCACTATACATTGCCATCATAGGATGCTACATATATACAACGTACTTTTTCCGTAGCCTTTGATGTTGATTTTTAACCTCCTTAATTGGTCTCTTGATGTTTAAATGCCAATTGGAATATGCGAATATGGAATAACTTTTCTACGTTAATCTTTTTTAAGAAAAATATATCAACTAATGCGTGCATACTCTACACATACATCGCAAATGTTACAAAAATATGACACTCTGTGTCGTTTAGATTTAGGTCTTGCTTTCATTTTAGTCTGAAAATAGCAACGATTTCCTCCCCTCATGGCGCATAAGGACGCAGCAGACAGACAGAATGGATACAGTACCTCGGATGGCGCCGGTAATGACGACAGAGGCCAGCAGAACTGCCACGGAAAGGGCAACACGATTCCTCATCTTGTTCTCAGGATCTTCCGGGACCGTCTGTCAATACCTGGGGACGAGAGGTAATTAAGTGACCTCTTGTACTCAAGGACGGTTGTTACAGCAGTATAGTTGCAAGAACGACGGAACTAATATAGAAAAGTGTCAATTAAAGACGAAAGAAGACGAATGTGCTAATAAAAAGCAATTTGTAAAACACACGTATTAGCGATAACAACGCAATTACATACAGCAATGGGTGACATACAGCATTATATTTTGTGAATGGACGTCATTAAAACTTTCCTACTATATTTTTATATATAATTTATTCACAATAAAACTGTTCCAAAACTTTGAAAAATGGACCGAGACGGTGGTTGATACCGACTTCCTGTAACCTTTGACCCAATGGTTGCGTCACGTGTTATGAACAATTGGCCGGCTAAGAACGCTGAAAAGGACTGATTTATAACTCCGATGAGTCCAATATTTCAGTTGAAGAACGGATTAATTTTTCCATAATGCCATTTACCAATAAACCTAACTCCGATATATGGTAATATATAATTCACATTGTTCATTATCTACTGAATACAGCATTTATCTATATTTGACGTTCAGTCTACCTGACGTCTGGAGATTATGAAATATGATTCTTTGCTGCGTTTTGACAGTCAATAAGTACGGATTGCCGCGCGTTTATTAAACCTGTCTCGTCAAAACAGACTCGTGATAGGGACTACTTTTACTAGCCAGAGTGTTCTCTTTTTAGAACCTATTGAATACACATCCACGTGTTGGTGACTGTTGTCATCTATCAATTTCACACGTGCACTTAAGATTGAAGCACTTTGCGTCAGTCCTACTACTATCTATCTTATCTCCTATTCTTATCAATAATAACCCGACTGCGCACGAGACAGGGGGACTTTCAGGCGACAGCGCCACAATTGGAAAAGCTCTTAAGAAGCTTTGATCGAGGCGATGTCTTGTCGTGTGAGATCCCTCTTCTTCAGTCCTTCTAAAGGCGCTAAGATTAACCGAAAATTGGCGCCTTATACCTACTACAAAGTTCGCGCATGACATGACTAGAAGCTAATACTTTAGTGGGAGGGTAGGGAGGGTTGTTTACGATTTGTCATTACATGGTAACGGTTAGCGGCGATGGCCAATGAAAGAATTTTATAGCAGCCCAGGGTATTCCGGATCATGGCGGGTTGAGATTGGATTTTCCCATGAACAAATGGGAAAAAAGTAACTAGTCTACTCTCGTAACTTTCTTCCTATTTTCGTTCTTCCTTCCTTTCGTTCGCTCGTTCTTTCTTCCTTCCTTCCTTTCTTTTTCTCTTTATCATTTCTCTTTCTTCCTTTCCTTTCCTTTCTTCCTTCTTTCTTTTCTTTTTTCTTTCTCTGTTCCTTCCTTTCTTCTTTCTTTATAATACAATTATTCTATACGTGAACATGATGCATACATTGTTGTGCAACTCATTTTACTTCATCCTCTCTTCAGTTTAATAAATAACGCATAGTCATATTTCCAACACGTTTCTCGTCTTCACCATTCATACCACGTACCAGGAAATAGGTTTTACAATCGCAAACGGTAGATATAATGAGGGAATCGACGAGGTCTAGAATTCCAATAAAACGGTTGCTGGTTTAACGACCAGACAATATCAAGAAAGGAAAGGTACTTTGCCAGCTTACTAAAAAGTTCGCGGCCTCATTTGCTTCCAAGTAGCAACTTGTTGGACCCATTGAACTGGAAATAAAAGGTACAGGAAAATCGATACTTGTATTTACGAGCAATGGCTTCCGCTCAATACTGTACAAAATAAGTCATCTAAAGGGTTACGAAATGTTTGCTAGGTTTAGATACCTCACGTTTTCTTTTATTATTTTGTCATAACAAAATCTTCCGTCTTTCAAAAGCGAGGTATTTAGAATGTATAATGCATAATAATCTATAAAAAAATAAGAAAATTCAGACTTCCGGGGAGTAGTTTTATGACCTTCAAGTTCAGCCCAATTTCCTGTGCCTGACCTTTGATCTCCTGTCACTCTGTCTGTCAAGCTTCCTCACCCACGTGCCGTCAACCTTCTTGTCGTGACAGACGCACAACCCACACCCCATGTACCCAAAACAGCGCTTTCTTGCCCGTGAGTAATGAATAAAAAGAAAATTTGAAAAAGTCCCAAACACTCTCTCTTTATTTATATTCCACAGAGATGAAATCTAAGAGTCATCGAATATTGAGATCTAAAAGTGTTGTCTCACAAACAACTGTCTTGTTGTCAATTCTGTGCAGCAATACAATCATGCTCCCTGTGCTGTGAATTTTCGTCCATTTTGATAAAAATTATATATTATTTTAAAAAGAGTCAAACTTTCCCAGCATGGGTTTAACACAACGCTGGTGACATGAATTTGCTTCCTAACAATAGTTGGTAGCAGCAGGACAAGGATTCTAAGATTGATATTGAATTTCTAAATCCTCTGCTTCCCTTCGACCAGCGCATCTTAACTTGATCTGCCACAGTTCCACTGCGGTTGCGCGAGCATAAACTCGTTAGATACACATAATTGCCGGCGTGCCTCCATGAAATGAGTTCATGAAATTCCGCAGTAACAAAATGATTGTCAATGTAACTCATCCCCAGTCGATAAAAGATAACGACCCGTGTGTATAATAACATTTCACCACAGACCTGTCGGCGATGAACATTAAATCATCAACAGTTTCATCGCGCGCATTTGGATTATGAGTTAGGTTTCTGCGATGATTTTTAATCAGTAAAATCAATGTAAAGAGGCACCAGAGAGTTGGAAAACATAATTATGGACATATAATGTTCATCTGTAACCATAATCCAACGCGATGATGTATGGGTTTTATATAGTCAATATTTGAGATATAATCATAAGTTATATTTGTAATGAATAGCTATAGGAATACCTACTATGTGCATTTACTATATACTTGCTCGGTTTTACGAACTAAAACTGATTATCACACCCAGGAAGTAATCTAAACATTATTACTTTAACCGCAGCTAAACTTGATATACATGTGTCCGGGTATGTCCAACTAGCATGGGGCTATCGTAAAGTCGTATGTATACATGTACGCTGTAGATTACTTCAGTGTCAGAAATGGCTGACTGGTTGGATGTAGTGTTACTAGTGCAAACTTACATCCGAATATTGCAATGCAGTGCAAGTGCAATGTTTGTATATCACTTAACTGACACTTTCGAATCAAGGCAAAGGAGGATATCTTAATCTTTCTTAAAAATATTACCTCCTTAATCATACGCCTATTGGGATCGGGTGACTTTTACATGAACTCCTTTTCGTGCTACACTTATGGGTGATAATACCACTAGGCTATCTGTTGTATTACTTGAATGTCTTTTCTGTGTACATCTTGTCTGTAGTCTTTTAATATGTATTCTTTTATAGGTTCATATCTCTTAAATGAAGAATAGATGATTTAATTATTTAATTGCGGAAAGTCAAAACTCTTCAAGTCTACGCCTGTATTTTAGACAAACTGGCCAGAACCGACCAAGAAGAAAGATCTATTGAGACATTGGCCACAAAATGGTCCTGTTGTCCTTGAATCCGCTTGTTGTTACTTCTATAGCCCAAACTGGATTACACCTGTATAGCCCTGGAGCACGCAGAATGGCCGTGGTTTATCTGTTATTGATGTACACTGTAGATGCTGAAAGCACTGTCAGAAAATGCTGGCAACGCAATTATCAAGAAGATATAGGAGATTTTAGACTTTCTGGAAGTATTTTTGGTTGCCGTGATCTTTAAATTCACAGACTTTCGGGAAATTTGTGTTTTTGTAAACTGTATTGGAACTGTGAAATGGGTTTGATTGGGTAACATCACTTCCTATAAATCCCTCCACATACCGCCCACTTGCTCCCACCCCGTGCGTGCTGGGTAATCTTCAGGCGTGACCACAATATCTATCAACTGTCAAAATCATCTCCCACCACTAGCCATTCTAGCGAAGTTATTAGGACAAGCAGAGGCACAAGGTAACAACTCGGCCACCCAAAAACAATACTTCCATGCCTAGTAGTAATAATATAACAATTGTCTACCCTGCTCATTTCAGAGTTCACTACTTATCAATCAAACTTCTGTTATCTTCTTTGTGCGTGCCTATATGACCATTATGTAGCAATAATAATAACAAGAATAAGAATCCAAAGTAGTAAAGAAAAAATTACTTCCATACTACATGTACTTACATACTACATGTACTTACATAGTAGGAAAATGATCAAAGTAACTGAAGAGGAAAATGAACATAGTTTCTAACCCGCCCAAGTCCACGTACTACATGTAAGTTTTCCCAATACACATGACCCTACATGTACGTACATTGACGTCTGCGCACACTGCATTTTACATCCTGGTCGTATAATCGTCTCAACTTGATTGAACCCAGCTCATAAGCTTTCCCAGTAAGAAGACTTTCATCAAGAAGAAAATTGTTGTCATATAAATGATAGGCAGGGACCGGCGCCCGTAACTATGGCAGACCGCCCTATAACTGCTGACTAGCATTTGCAGCCGCAAAAGCTATACCTAACTTCCGCCGCGTGTTATAATGAGAGGGATACGTGCTATGTTTATCACTCTGAAAATGCTGCGGTGTAAGTAACTTTTCTGGGACGATTTTTATCTCACAGAGTGCCAGCCGACAGTATATGACAATTACAATCATCTTTATTCGCACGTTCATGTCGACTAAATGCAGCACATTATAGTTTTACATGAGACAGTCACAGAAACACTACACCTATAAAGAAGTGCTCCACGTCTATTGTGACTAGTCTCACTGAGTCAGTCGACTGAGTCGTTGAGTTGGATCAAATGTCTTAACATGTAACTACCAACATAGATAAACTTTCTTGATAATAAAAAATGATTTACGATACGCTTGGAGACTTGGAGTCACAAAGTATCACCCGTACTGGTGGGTGGGGGCTGGTGGGCAGATCTGACGGCCATGACTTTTCTGCTGACCCGAAAACGATCCT